GGCAGGCGGACTCTCAACCACTGCGCCACCAGGGAAGCCCTTGAATGCTTTTTGATACACAAGATGATTTTTATGAGATGTTCATATGGATTTATAATTTAAAAAAACCCTGAAAACAACCCAACAGGAAAATGATGGATATTATATAGCAGTGAAAAAACAAATGAACTTAAATTATGTGCCATAACATAGGTGAATCTTAGAAACATAATGTTGAGTGAACTAGCAAGTTGCAGAACTCCATTAGGTATGATATCATTTTTATAACGCTAAAAAACCAAATTCACTAATACATTATTCAGTTATATGTACATATATGATAAAGTTATTTTAAAAGAAAGATAAGAGAATAATGGGCATAAAATACAGGATACAGGTTCTTCTGGGGATGGAGTGAGAAAGAGGCAAGAGGATAGAGGAGTTATTCAGGATGGATGCAAGTTATTGGCTGAGTTATGGGTTCACCTGTGTTATTTTGTTCTGCAACATATGTACATGTCACATATTCTTCTGTATTTTCCAATATTATATTTAAAAACCTGATAAAGAAAAATGAAAGAACTTGGATACTATTTACATTTATCAAATTTGCAAGCATTTTAAAGGAGATTAAAAGAAATGTGAAATAGCTTTTCTTGTACATTCATGATAGGAGTATAAACTGGTGCAGGCTTTTTTATTTGGATCTCTCTCTATTTATGTGTATATATGTATGTTGTGTGGCATATATGATATATATATGCCACACAAATATTTGATATAAGTATATACAAACACCTGTATACAATATATACACATACACACATATATAATTTGTGATATATATATGTAGTCATTAGTTAATATTCTCTAACCCAATAATTCAATTTTGGGAAAATAAAAGCTAAAAAAACCCCTGAAATTAAAAAAAAAAAAAAACACCTCAAAATTAGTTGTTAAAATTAGAAAAAAAGTTATGAACACAAAGATGTAGTTAGAAGTTCTTTTCTACCTGGGCACTTTGTCACTTTCCTTCCCTCTGAGCCCTGCGACCAGAGGCACAGCCAGGCATACACAGTACCAGTGGAGGACACTCTCATGTCCAAAGTCGAGACCCACCCCCTCCAAGTTTCCATCGTGTTGTCCCATTTATTTCTTCCGCAGTCCTCGCACCAGCTGTCATTACCCAGAATGTAAATTCCCTGAGAGGAGGGACCTCACACTGCGCTGGGGTGAAGTAGGTGCCCAGTAAGCACCTGTGGAGGAATGAACACCTAGTGAAAGAGGAAAAGACCTTTCTTGGAGCAAACTGGTCAAGATATGGGAGGCCTGGAGGAATATAAGTACTTTGTGTGCCAGTACTGTGCAAATTTTATAACCATGTCTGATTTTTTTGGTCAGTATTCACTGCTCTCCAGAGAAATGACTTTCTGATATCCTAGGTAAAATGCTAGGGGATTTCCATTCTCCTAAGAAAAGCCTCTTGCAACGTCTTCTGTGATTTGGTTTTTAGACACTACAGCATAAAATAACAATTAGGGAATCTGGGATGTTAGGAAAACTGGTTTGACTATATCAGGTCTCCTGAAGAAGATTCTTTGTATGCTATAGATTGTGTTAAAATCTATGTATACATTTTTCAATAGGCTTTGCCATAATAACTGAAGCTTATTTCACTGTAAGTACACAAAATAAGCAAAGGGAAGCAAAGAACATGTCTTTCAATATGCAGTATTTTAGTTATAGCCCTAAATTAACGTCACATTGTCAAGAGAGTCAAAATGCATTAAAATTCAAGTAGCTTCAAGAGGATTGCAGCCATTTTTATTCTACTGATGTTTCAGCCACGTCAAATATAATTGCCTGGGGGAATTTATCTGAGGTCTAGGGACAGAAATTATGATTTTTGTACCACTTGTATCATTTGAGCAGCCTCAAATTGGAGGAAAGACTGACCTTCAGGGCAAACAGGGAAAGACAGTGTGCATATGTGAGGCAAAACCCAGCCGACCCAGTTTGTGCCAGGGTCTTTCAGGCTATTAACTACAGTACTCTAAACCGTAATCAAACTTCAGGAGAAAAAAAGATCTTTAAGCTCTTGGACATTAGAGCCAGGTTTCAAGAATGGGAACCAACTGTGTAATCTACATTGGAGGTGGTGCTGACAGTATTTAATAACTGAAGCCAGTGTGCAATGAACATGTTGAGGAAAGAAAGACGGACAGCTAAGTCCAGCTCCCAGCGACACTGTCAGAAGCCTGAGAAGTCTGCCTTTGGTCCTCTCGTCTTCCAGCTCTGCTTTCCCTGCTCTGGGTGAAAGGCTTTCCATTCTCCCCGAAGCCAGGCTGGCGGGCCCAGAGCCGCAGTAGAGGGATGAGGAGTAGCTGGGATTCGGGAGCCTCTTATGCGGGGCCCAGGGCTTAGGAGAAACATGCTTTCGGGCTTTGTGTGGTCCACTCGCCTGGAAGCCGGGCGGTGTTCAGACTGGGGAGGTGTGGCTCCCTGTCACTGGCTGGGGAACGTCCACACGTGCCACCCGAGCCTTACACAGGACAGGCCCCAGAGCCTGGCAGTCTTGGGTCACCTGGCCCGGGAAGGAGGCAGGGAGGATCCCACTGATCCTTGAGGCAGAGGCTGTAGTTGTTATGAAAACCATCCTTTGCTTCCTGTATTATTTTGATTGTTGGTTACATTTGTTACAAATTGTGGTAAAATATACATAACATAAAATCTGCCACCTTAACCATTTTAAGTGTACAGTTCCGAGGCGTATATTCCCATCGTTGTGCAGCCGTCACCACCATCCCTCTCCAGAGCTCTTTCCGTCTTGCAAAACTGAAACTCTGTCCCCGTTAAACAATAACTTCTCATCCTCCCCTCCTCCAGCCCCGGCAACCACCATTCTACTTTCTTTCTTTTTTTTTTTAAATTAATTTATTTTATTTATTTATTTAGGCTGCATTGGGTCTTTGTTGCTGCACGTGGGCTTTCTCTAGTTGCGGCGAGCGGGGGCTACTCTTTGTTGCGGTGCGTGGGCTTCTCACTGCGGTGGCTTCTCTTGTTGTGGAGCACGGGCTCTAGGCGCGTGGGCTTCATTAGCTGTGGCACGTGGGCTCAGTAGTTGTGGCTCGCGGGCTCTAGAGCTCAGGCTCAGTAGTTGTGGTGCACGGGCTTAGTTGCTTGCAGCATGTGGGATCTTCCCAGACCAGGGCTCGAACCCGTGTCCCCTGCCCTGGCAGGCGGATTCTTAACCACTGCGCCACCAGGGAAATGCCAACCAGCACTCTACTTTCTGTCTTGATGAATCTGACTGCTCTAGGTACCTCATATAAGTGGATTCTTATAATATTTGTCCTTTTCTGTCTGGCTTATTTCACTTAGCATATTGTCCTCAGGGTTCATCCATGTTGTTGCATTTTTTTAAATTTAATTTTTATTTTATTTTGGAGTATAGTTGATTAACAATGTTGTGTTAGTCTCAGGTGTTCAGCAAAGTGATTCAGTTATATATATATATTCTTTTTCAGATTCTTTTCCCATATAGGTTATTACAGAATATTGGGTAGAGTTCCCTGTGCTCTACAGTAGGTCCTTGTTGATCATCTATTGTATATATAGTAGTGTGTATCCATGTTGTTATATTTATCAGAATTTCCTCTTTTTAAAGCTGAATAACATACCGTTATATGTACCTACCACATTTTGTTTATCCATTTATCTGTCAGTGGATACTTGGGCTGTTGCCACCTTTTTGCTATTGTGAATACTGTTCCTATGAACAGGGGCGTACAGATATCTCTTTGAGTCTCTGCTTTCTATTCTTTGGGTATATATCTAGAAGTACAGTTGCTAGATCATATTGTAATTCTATTTTTTTTTTTTGAGGAGCTGCCATATGTTTTCTATAGCAGCTGCCCCATTTTACATCCCCACCAATAGTGCACAAGGGTCCAGTTTTTCCACATCCCTGCCCCTAGTTACATTTTAGGTGACAAAGCATACCACTGCAACATATCTGCTTCATTTTAAAAACTGCCATCATAGCTGCTTTATTGTTTTCTTTCCTTCTCTCAAGCATTTATCTCACATCGATTTTTTTCTTACCAAAAGCCCAGAACTTGGTATAGTTTTGGCTTGGGGCCTGGGGTGCAGAGGGTAGCCAGGACACCAAAATAAGCCTGAATGTTTACAATTATCATAAATTACATTGTTAGGGCATTTTGCAGCTTATAAAATGGTTTTATATTTGTTACCACTTTGATTCCTGTCCTATAAGGTAAGTAGTGCATTTGTTATTATCCCCCCTTATAGATGGAGAAACCAGGGCTCACAGAAACTCAGTGACCTGCTTAGATTACACGGCCAACGTCACACCTTCTGATTTCTGATATACTTGGTGCTTTTCTCTTCATATCGTGAGATTTCTCCAGTCCACTCCACAGGCACATGCACAGAGACCAGTGTGATTATTCTCCCTTATGGGAGGACTGGTCATTCTAAGAAAACAGTAACTTCTGACTCAAGCACTTAAAACTGCAGTAAAACATGCAATCAGTATCTGTGCTGGCCACTGCATGTGGACCTCTGTAAATCCCCCTGGTCCCACCATTTGCTCCAGCCGCTGCTGCAGCAACCAATTTCAAGAGGCTTAGACCAGCTTCTCTTCGGTAGAACCAGACAGAACCTCACTTTGATTCCGTCCTGGGGATCTCTTGTTCTCTTCCCTGAAGAAACATCTGATGTCATAACATGGAATACCTGTGGGAACTCCTCATTGCTCACACCTGTATGCTCTGGAAGGGTGGGTGAGTTACGACTTATGGCACCACCATTGACCAATAGGAAATGGAAGTTAGTGGATAAAGAGATTCTCCCTTTCATCTCCAAAGGACATGTCTGAGATGCATTCCACAAAAGGTCCTTCAAAAAGACCTGGCAGGAGAGAGAGAGACAGAGAGAGAGAGAGAGATAGAGGGGGGGGGGGGGAGAGAGAGAAAACAGGAAATGGAAAATAAACAAAACAGAGTGAGACACAGGATAGAATAAGAAAGTAAAATACGCATTTGATTGGAATTCAGAAGGACAGAATGGGAGAAAACAATAGTAGAAGATAGTGTTCGAGAATTTTCTAAAATTGGTAGAAGACAAGAATTCTTAGATGCAGGAAGCACAATAAACCACAAAAAAGAGAAATAAAATGAAATCCACACCTAGACATAGAGAAGCAAACTGCAAAACAACAAAGACGATGAGAAGATGGTAAAAGCAGACAGAGGAGATGGGTCGCTCCTGAAGGGATAACAACTAAAACTGGCAGCTGACGTCACAGCAGCAGCAACAGAAGCCCAAAGAGACAGTAATTGTTAACCTAGAACTGTAGACCTGGTAACTATCGTGCAAAGATGGAAATGACATAAGGACATCTTTAGGAAACCAAACTGGAGAGTGTTTATCACCAAAAAGCATTCACAAAGGAATTTTTGATGATGTATTCCAGAAAGAAGGATATTGATTCCAGAAGGAAGATCTGAGATTCAAGAAGGAATGGTAAGCAAACATTGACTATAAAATAATAATAACACTGTCTAATTTGCAGAGGAAAAAAATCAAGTAAAGTTTTGCATGATGTCACGTAAGATGGGCAGGGGACAATTGAAGTTTAAGTGCTCAAAAGTCCTTCATTGTTCAGGAGAAGCACAGAGATGTAAAAACTTAGACTTTCCAGTTACCTACACATGTTAGAAGTTTAAGAATAATTACTGGAAGAAAATACAGAATGTATAATTTCTGTAACGGGAAATATAAAACAATGGAAATTTTCCCTCAGTCATCTAAGGGAGGCAGAAAATATCCCAAAAAAAGCAGGACCGGTAGAAAGCTCACAGATATATGGCAGAAGTAGGTTCAATTACACAAGTAATGGATATAGTTACATAATAATTACTAAGTAATTAAATGAGGTATATTTACAGATGAAAAGGTGGATGTTGTCAGATTGAATAAAAATGACCAGATATTGCACATTTACAGACTGGGGCCAGTTCTGAGAAGGTCTTGTCAGGACAATGGGAACTTTCAGAACAAAGGCTGCCCAGTAAATGGGTCCTGCGAAATGGCTCAGTCCCAGTACTGCCACCGTGCTCAGCCATGGGCAGGGAACAGCTGGGGGGATGTGTGACCTGGGTGTGAGCACCGTGGTGGATCCGAAGATGTGACGGCTGGAGGCCATCAGTTAGTTATCCTCTCGAGAATTGAGAAGACACGTCATGGCCACCACAGAGAGAGGTGTCTTCACATTTTAAATAGAGGCATTGGGCCATCTTTGTAGGATTTGATGAGTAAGGGTTTGGGCAGAGGAGAGAGTGATCAGGGAGGAGGCTGGTAGCAAGAATTACAGGGTGCTGTGAGGGAGAGGGGGCAGGACCAGCCCCTTCATCCAAAGAAAGCCTTCTGGAGAACTACTTGGAGAGCTTGGCATGGATCACCCAGAGTTTGGGGACATACATGAACCCAGAGCCTCCTAACTCCTACGAGACAAGCTTTGACGAGCAAGGCTGGTCAGAGCTACCTGTGACCGGGGAACGGGGAGTCCGTGCTGCTGTGGCCGTGACCTGGATGGACAGGGTGGAAGGCGGCTGGGTCTGCCTGCCAGGGCACGTGACGCCTGCAGAGATGCACCACCAGTGGAGAAGCTGACTCGGAAGCCTGGTGCTGGGCAAGCTCCCCACCGTGCCATTCTGGATGAGCCAGTCTGCACAGAGTTAGCCCGGGATGTAGAACAAGGCAGGAAAAGGCCTTTCCCTTCCCATGCAGGCTTCTGAGCTTGGGTCCTGCTGGGAGCTGGTGGGTGGCGAGAGGGGAGTGGGGTAGGCTTAGGTGGAATGAGACGGAAGTTTTGACTTGGACTGGACTGGACTTTTTAATACCAGAGGATCAGACTGTTTATTAACAGCTGAAAGTGACAGGAAAAGCTTGAAATCTGCTCTAGATTCTTCCAGAGGAGAAGGGAGAGCTGTTAGAATATTTTTAAAAGACAGTGGTGTGATTTCCCTTCTCTAAGTAGTCCAGTAATGATTCAAAAATTAACTGCTGTAAAATATTGCTTAACATGGTACTTTGGAAAAAGACCTCCCCACCGCCCTTAAAAAAACCCCACCTAAATAGTGCGAGGACCAGCACCCACATTTCATTTTTATAACGGCAAAAGCTTATTCCATTGACATTTGAACCGGAGGCAGCGGAAGTTCTCTGATCTCGCTTACCTTCCACGTGCACTGCTTAGGGAAGCCGGGAGCACTTCTTTGAGACATAAATTAATATACTTATTCCTAAGAGGTCCTCTAGAACCCCTCGACCGGTGTTAGGCACATTTGGTGCTTATTAAACACAGAAATAAACCTGGTTCTAGAAAGAAACGTGTGCCTTTTCCGCAAGCCTTTCTACAGGTCATCTTCGGGCTCCTCGTGCACCAGGAATCCCACCGCCGGAGCCGGAGCGGGACGGCGCGCGCACGGCGGCCCCGCGGCCGGCAGAGGGCGCTGCGGCTCCCCGGCAGGGCTGCAGGGCGCGGGGCTCGGGTCCCGGCGTGTGCGTCTCGGGGAGGCCGGGAGGTGGTGCGCGCCTCTCCGCCCCGCGCCGCCCTCCCGCGCGGGCCCGCTCGCCGCCCGGCCGCTGTCAACGCCGCCCGCACCTCGCCGGCGAGGCGCGCGGGGTGCGCGGGCTGCGCGGCGCTCTCCGAGGCCCGGTCTTCGCCGCCGCCCGCGCCACCGCTTCTCTTTGTCCGGGCGAGGCGGCCGGAGGGGCGGCCGCTGCGGCCGGGGGGCGCCTCGGCGTCCGGTCGGCGGGTCCGGCCGTCGCCACCGCGGCCGCCGCGCGCTCGGAGCGGAGGCGGCGGCCTGGGCGGTGCCGGCGCGAGGTGAGCGCGGGGCGCGAGCGGGCGTGGGCGGGCGGCGGGGACCAGGCTGGGGAGCCGGCTCCGCGCGCGGGGGCGTCCCTGCCCCCTCCGCCTGCGCCACCTCTGCCGGCTTCTCCCGGCAAGTTTGTCGCCCCCGCTTTGCGGACCTCCTCGGAGGATCAGCCGAGTCCAGACCTGTGGCCAAATAGAAAACTCGAGCTGGAGGCGGAGGAGGCGGAGGAGGCGTGTGGGAAGCCGGTCCGGGATGAGAGTCTCTTGAAGGGCAGCGCTGGCTTCTTGGAAATCTTCCTTGGCTCTTTCCCACCCAGGTGAGCGAATCCTCTTCTGCTCAGTTCTGCACAGGGGCGGGTTGGGCTCCGCTGCCGGCGTTCTGGGAACCCGCGCCGATTCGGGGGAGTGATTGCCGCCGGGGCTCCGGGGAGCGCAGTGTTTATTTTGGCTTCTCGGTCATCACAGCCCTCGTTCTCTCCTGCCTGCATCCGTCACCTGCTCGGGCTGAGGTATTGCAGCTCATCCGGCACCTTCGCGTGCTGCCAGGTTAAACATTCTCTGTTTTAGAAGGGCTGGTAGGTGAGTTCAACCGAATCCCTCCCCGCCCCACACCCCCGGCTTTGGATAATTTGTTCTGTGTCTTCGTCTTAATTTAGTACGAATGTGTTATTTCCTTTGAGCTTTATAATGGTAAAGCAGTGAAGCGGTTTGCTACATCCATTTTTTCATTCTGAGCCTGTGCACAGAAGGAATTTCAGGCACATAAGTGATGTTACTACCATTCTATTTTAAATACAAACACGGAAAGAAGTACTCTTGGCAGGATACCAAAGGCGCCTGTACTCTGTTATATAAGTGCTTTTAAAAAATATTTGCTCATTGTTAAAGTTATAAAAGGGATTACCAGAGCATCTAAGAAGAGAGGGTGAAGATAAGTCAGAGCCATAATTTCTTCTTTAAACCAAAACTTTACTGGAAGATAAGCATGGTCTTAGCTGGAGATACCCTTTAAGATGATATAGGGCCGTTTCTTTGACCTCATTAGGTACAATTGTAAAACATAAAAAAAACAGAGTAGGTTTTGTAAGGGCTGTTAAGAAACTTGGTGAAAATTCTTTCACTACTTATTGATAGTAATAAAAAAGATCCCACAGATATCCTTTATGGCTTTTAAACTAGTGAATGATTTTATTTCTTATAGCTGATGGAAACTTTGTAATTATGAACTGCCAGTTATTAAAGATTTAAATAACCTTTAATATCTCTACTTGTATTTATGGGGTTTTTTTCAGAGAAGAAGAAGACAGAAGTAGAAATATCAGGTATACTGAGGTCTGGGCACCTCCTCTTGTGACCCACATCTCAGGAATCTGTTCCAAGTGGTTTTTGGTGATGCTGTGACATTTGTAATGTTAAAAACTCCCTTGTGATTCTAATGTGTAGCCTGGGGTGAGACCCATAGGATAGCGTTGTTTTTTTTCAATTTGTCACTTTGTAGCCTAAGGTGTGGCTCCAGTGGTTTAAGGAAAGTAAAAAATAAGTGGTTAGAAATATGGAGAGAGAATGGTATTGAAAAGAAGATGTGTTGAAGAATTATAGCATGTACACTTTTGTATTTTGTATATCTTTCTCGATTTTTTTTAAACCTGCAGGGAATAGTTGATGTTTATTGGGGACCCATGATTCCATGTAGACTACGTCAGGGAGTCCTGAGTGGGACATGTCTTTGTGCACAGGTAACAGTGAAGTTGAGTAGCGGTGTCAGGATATTCCTTTTTGTTTACGTGAAAAGACAATCACGTCTTATTAAAGATTGTGTGCTCCATGAAATTCAAAACTCATTATGTTAATATAGACTAGCAAATTAAGTGCAAAAAAGCTTTTATTGTCTTTAAGGTCGGAAATTAACGTGGCTGCTGAATCAATGTTTTCTGTCTACTTCATGTAATTCCAAATACCCAAATCTGGGGGCAGATCTTAGGGTTGGTTTGTGAAGGCTTATGTAAGTGCTATGACTATTGCGTTAAACTCTCTGTTTTGGCTATTACATAATCGACACAGTACTGGATTGTTAAAGCCAAAACAGGGGAAGGATGCACAGCCCCAGCCCAGCACATGCGCTTTTATAATGAATTGCTGCGGCCAAATTAGAGGGAACAGCAGGGACGGAGGTTTGTGAAAGAGAGATGAGAATAGCGTCTAGAGGATTGATGTAAGAGAAGACTGTTATGCTTAGCGGTTTTCTAGAGATTTTAATGCTGCGGTATAAACCTCTCTAGTCTTTCGTATCTCCCAGAAGAGGCGCATTGACTGGGAAGCTAATGATCTTAAGCTTCAGGGCCCCTCACTCCGGCTTCGTCCAAGTCCCGGGGAGGGCCACTTGCAATGTGCTCACATGGTCACAGAAGTTTGTGTTTGTAATTGTGGATTTTTTTAAAATAAGGAGGACACTCTCTCCCCCCTCCCGCATCCCATCATAAGAATGTAAGCCTCCATAAACCCTGAATCTGCTGTCTCCTGATTATGTTCAAATGTTAACTTTGAAAAATGCTTTTTCTTATTTTAACATCTGTAGTCTCATGAAAAGACAAAAAAAGAAATCTGGCCAATATTGTAGTTGAGCTGCTGAGAAAATGCAAACTGCTATCACCCAGGGCTCAGGTGGTTAACCGGTGAATCAGCTGTGCCTTGTGATCTCACACAAACCGGGACTTTTTTGGATCCGAGCTGAGCCGGAGGCAGAGAGAAGCTGAGACGGGGGCGGGGAAGGGAGGAAAGTGGGTTAAAGCCCTTGCACATCTCAGAGACGGCGGCCGAGGGGAAAGGGAGAAAGAAGTGAACTACCAAAAGATGCTTCATTAGTAAAAAGTTAATAGGAACAGATAGCATCAGCTCCATAGGAGACTTTCCTGTAAACTCCTTAGGATCTGTCTTCAATATGAATTCTAAACAGGGAGCAAACTCAGGCCTGGAAAATATCTTGCAGGAAACAAGTGCAGGCTGGGAAGGGCTAGGATAAACTATTGACTGTTCCCGTTTAGCAGTTTTATGGGTAAATGGGAGCCTTATTATGTCTGCCGCAGGAATGTTGGAGAGGGGGGTTATTGAAAAGAGTGGAGGATTTTCCCTTTTTCTCTGAAGCAATTTCTGCTTCATATCTGAATTTGGATGCTTCAGATCTTACCATCTTGACCCCTTTCCCACCGGTCTTTATACCCCCTCCGCCCACCCACCCCTTCAGACATCCACCCATCCACCCACCCATTCACCAAGACACTCCGCTTGACCAAACTTTAGTCAGACTCCTCTGAGCCCTCTTCTTGACTAGGCCTCAACCTTGGCCTATAGGAACTGCAACTTTCAACACGATCTTGTCGGTGTAGTGTTGTCCCCCGCCCCCCCAGAAGACTTGAGAAAACTCTACCTTGGCTTCCAGCCCCCTGAGGTCATGCCCCTGGGATGACCCACCCCCCCTTGAGTTTCTGTTTGGAAAAGCTCAAGTCTGCCACAAGGATTTACCCTTTGTTCCAGCCAACACCTGAGGATGGGCCCGATTTCCCTTTTATTCAGCATTTAGTAGAAAAACAGTACAATTACAATGCATTCTCTGTCTCTTTGAGATGTATACGTATCTCCTACAACCCAGGAGTATCCTTCTCAAGGACCTGAAAGCCGTTCCTTTGACATGTAATCAGGAAGGATAGGGCCTCTGTCTCCCGTCTCTAGGAGACGGGGACAAACTGACACGTAACGTAACATCGTTGACGATGACCAACCGCCCTGCCTGCTTTTTGTAATTGCCCGCTTCCGTGACTCTGCTTTAGCCCTGTCTGCTCTCTTGTTCCTCCTCTAAAACGCCTGGCCGCCTCCTTGTGGATTGAAGTTGAGCTGAGTTTTATACTGAAGTCTTTCTTTCCTCTTGCAGTATATACTGAATAAATTCTGTCTTTACTGCCTTTAACTAGCGTCTAGCTTTGTTTTTCTTTAATAACATCCAGCGGATACTTCTGAGTGTCTGTTTGTGCCAAGCACTGTTCTAGATGTTAGGTATCTTAGAGCAGTGAACACAACAGACAAAAACTGTGCCCCAGGGGAGCTTACAGTGCCATGGATAAATTTATGTAAAATGTGTATCGTATCAGGTCGGGATAGTGCTGTGGAGAAAAGTAAATCAGAGAAGGAGAAGTGTAGGGTGGGGAGTGAGTGTTGCTGGGACATGTAGGTCAGGGAACGCCTCCCTGAGAGTGGATGCCGAGTAGAACCCTGAAGGAGATGAAGAGGGAGCCCTGTGGATGTCCGGGGAGAGCGTTTCCCTCGTTGGGGAATAGCCAGTGCAGAGCCCTGGGAGGATGGAGCTGGGCTGGCGCCCCAGGCAGGCTCGCGGCCAGTGCTTCCCTGCAACAGCAACCCACCCCTCTAATTCTCTTGTGGTGGTTTCTTGGACCTACCCTGGGACCCTCCTCTCCAGCGACGTGAGGTTGTGTCAGCGAGTGATGGTGTTACTCTTGGGCTTTAGGTGGTGTATTGGTTTGGGATCAGGTACAGCTGAGGGCCTCTCAGGGCTACTGGAATCCAGTCCAGACCATTACATAAACCAGGAGTAGGGGGAAGAGTTGGGTGTCTTCGTTGATGGTTCCCACTGGCTTGCTGTAGGAAAGGGGCCAACAGGAAAGCCTTATTTCAGCCCGGATTCCCTGCCGTCCCCTAGGAACAGATAGAACGGTGGTGAATAAAGGATGCCAACAGTGGGAACCACACTGCTGTTTCTTGGGGAATATCAAGATGTCGAGAGCCTAGAGCAACTCCTGGCGTGAGACTGAGCCAGCGAGAACCCCGCGGCCTAAAGGTGTTTGGGTTGGTTAGGGTTTGAGGAGGGGAGTTTGCTCATTGGTGGACGAGGCTCCTCTGTGCCTGGATGGCTGCCCTACGTGTACTAGCCAGAAAGCACGTGTGTGGACCTGGTAGCAGGTGGTCACGGATCCCTCAGTGGAAAAGGTGAGAAGCCAGTGGGGAGCAGCAGCACGTCTGCTGGAGAAAGGCATAGCCTTCCGGGTGCATGGGGATGGGTTGGGGGACAGGATACATAGCTGTTTACTTTGTCAAGCTATGAGCTTATAACCATTTCTATCCCTGACACAGACAAAGAAATCTTCCATATAGATTACGATTCTCTGGGTTGTTTGCTAGCAGGTTGGAGCATAACAGCAGGCTGAGCACAAAAGCAGGTGGCATTAGGAGGGTGGCATGTATAGGAGATTGGCAGGTGGCATTAGGAAGGTGGCATACGTAGGAGATTGGCAGGTGGCATTAGGAAGGTGGCATACACAGGAGATTGGCAGGTGGCATTAGGAAGGTGGCATACGTAGGAGATTGGCAGGTGGCATTAGGAAGGTGGCATACACAGGAGATTGGCAGGTGGCATTAGGAAGGTGGCGTACACAGGAGATTGGTGTCCTTGCCTCTTCTCTGTGCCTGTCATTGCTTTGTGTGGTCTCTCACTTTGCAGGCTTCCTTCACGTGCCCTACCATGTTTGGAAAATGGAGGATATAGGTTATTCCTGGGTATGTTATACCCTTCT